TTCTGTGCGGAATCTTCAACAAAGTCCTCTCCTTTTAACAGTCTACTTAGTTAACAGTCTAAGGGCAGCCCAGCAAGATAACTCTATTGCTGTCATTTTGGTTTCTTTCTGCGAAAAATAAATTTGACACGGACAGCTATACTATTCGTCATTTATTTGTCTGGGCGGTCCGTAGGACCTTTGCCCATTAGTCACTGTCTGATGTACGTTAGTCGAATCTGTCGGTCCTGGTTGCCCAGAAACCAGACAAAGTCAGGGAAAAAGAGAAAGGGAAAGAGAAGAAAAAAGGAGAAGAACAAAGAAAAACAGATATGCTTAGTTTAAGAGGAAACACCTAGGCTTTTTGACTTGGTACACGGATTAATTTTGAGGTGAACTAAACAAATTTTTTGATTCGGTTTTGTTAGAGTGTAATTTTGAGTTTACTAAAGATTCACGATAACTTTTGATTACAGTGCGAGCCGTGGCCTTGAATGTTTACGAACTTGCTCCACTGTGTAGTCCACTGAGTCACGCAACAGAGGGTTGCTGTGCGATTCCGCTTGACTATAACGTCGCTGCGCCTGAAGCTTGACATAATCCCTCAAGTAAGGAATGTCAAGATCTCTGTGTAGTGTCTCATTTGAGACATACCATGGAGCGTTGCAAATTGTCCGCAAAGTTCTGCTTTGCAGTACTTGAAGACTTTGCATGTGTGACTTGGCAAGAAAACACCAAGCCGCACATGCGTAAGTAATGGCTGGTCTAATAATCATTTTATATAGTCGAACTTTGTTTATCAAACTCAATTTGGAGGATCTACATAACAAAGGATATAGTTGCCGAAACGCAATTTGGAATTTTGTTTTTATGGATGCTGTATGTTTCTGCCAGGTCATGCCTTTATCAAGGGTGACACCGAGATACTTGGCAGAATTTATCCATGGTACACGATTTCCGTCTACAGAAACCTCTGCTGGGGGGCCGCGACGTTTTTTGGTACAATAAATAGCCTGCGTTTTCGAATCATTAATTTTTATCAGCCACCGTTCCGCCCACTCTAGAACTTCGTCCACCGCATTCTGCAACCCATCGTGAACCAGATCACCAGTAAACGACTGGGCGACAAGTGCAGTGTCGTCAGCATAGAGGTAGACTTCACAGTTGCTGGGGGAAGGGACATCATGGATGAAAAGCGAATAAAGAATTGGTCCTAGGACCGAACCCTGAGGAACTCCGGCCCGTACTGGCCGTGATGTTGACAAAACATTGTTAATTTTGATCGGAAACTTCCTTCCTTCAAGAAAGGATTTCAGTAATTTTAGAGACACGGACAGCTATGGATAGCTGTAGGTTGGATTGAGAGTGATAGATAGGATACATCGAACACAAGTCAACTTCGGAGAGCAAAAAAAAAACTCACACAAATAGTTATCATCGTACATTTACGAGTAGTTATTACGAGTATTGTACACGAGCACTGAGAAAACGTGGTTAATTGACCAGTTGTTAACCAAAGATATTAACTATAATTAACTAAATTATTTGGTTAAATTAAACTGAATTTTCTGGGACCAGATGAATTGAAAGTAATAATGGGTGATTTTTTTGCTAGTATCTTTTTGGCAACACTGTTTTTGACAGATGACGCGTGAGTCGTGTCTTGTGTCATTGTCAAACTTGTTCAGTTTGGTCTATAATTTAACCATGAATCGACTTACGAACGAACAACGCTTGCAAATTATTGAATTTTACTATCAAAATTCATGCTCGGTTAAGAGAGTGCATCGATCACTGCTTCCAATTTATGGGCAATTTGGTCGGCCTACTGAGGGAGCTATTCGGAAGCTTGTGACTAAATTTCGAACCCAGTTTACATCATTGGACATTAAACCACCAACACGCAGACTTAGAGTGAGGACTGATGAAAGTATTGAGGCTGTATCCGCCAGTGTTAGTGATGACCGTGAGATGTCGATTCGCCGCCGTTCGCAGCAATTGGGCCACTACGTGGAAAATTTTGCGACAGGATTTGGGTGTAAAACCTTATAAGATACAGCTGGTGCAAGAATTGAAGCCACACGACCTCCCACAGCGTTTCCCATTTGGTGAATGGGCGCTGGCAAAGTTGGAGGAAGATCCACATTTTTATCGAAAAATTGTGTTCAGCGACGAAGCTCATTTCTGGTTGAATGGGTACGTTAACAGGCAAAATTGCCGCATCTGGAGTGAAGACCAGCCGGAAGCATTGCAAGAGCTACCAAGGCATCCCGAAAAAATCACTGTTTGGTGTGGATTATGGGCCGCAGGCATCATCGGGCCGTACTTCTTCAAAGACGACAATGGCCGGAACGTAACTGTGAATAGCGAGCGCTACCGTGCGATGATAACAAACTTTTTTTTGCCCAAAATGGAAGAGCTGGACTTGGCTGACATGTGGTTTCAACAAGACGGTGTCACATGCCACACCGCACATGAAACAATGGCCCTATTGAGAGGCGAGTTCTCACGTTTGGGGCCCGTCAATTGGCCGCCTAGATTGCCGTTGGACTATTTCTTGTGCGGCCATGTTAAGGCTAATGTCTACAGGGACAAACCAGCAACGATTGACGCACTGGAAGCCAATATTGAAGCATTTATTCGTGAGATACCGATATGTTGGAGAGAGTGTGCCAAAATTGGACCTTGCGCATGGGCCATCTAAAGCGGAGCCGCGGCCAACATTTACATGAAATAATCTTTAAACATTAAATTATATCGACCGTTCTATCGACTCAAATAAAGATTTAATCGCTTTCTCAAATTTTTTGTGTTTTTTTTTTTGAAAATCAAATCTTATACCTCTTAAAAAATCATCCGTTATATAAAGTGTTCATTTAAAAACTTCCCGTACGTCAAAAGATTTGTCAATGACGAACACTTTTTAACCAAAAATTACTTTAGCCCCTTTCATCCTCGGCCTCCAGGGTCATTCTCTTAGAAATTTTAAACAAGAAGGGTCATTGAGTAACAGCTTTTTTGAAAGGTCTTTCGAACTACTTTGTATTGACGTTTGATTTTTTCGAGAAAATTTGAAAAATCTTCATTTATCTTAATTTGCTAAGATAGAAAACAAAAACACATGAAAATTTTACTTTTTATTTCAAATGTTGCCCGTTATTGACCAAACAATGATATAGGCGATGTTCAAATTCCTTACAGTAATTTCCAAAAAAATGTGGGGAGTGAGCATAATACATTTTGACCCTTCCTCTTAAAATTCAATAATACCTAGCGTACTTGTAGGCGCTTGAAAATGTTGCTACATAAATCCCGTATAACAAAAAAACAAATCACTGTCAATTCAACAACAAAAGCAAACTTTTAGTCAAAACAAGAAAGCTGCATCTTGGATAATAAAACAACTTTTATAAGACTGTGTTAAGCATCCCACAAGCCGGCGCGAAATAATCGCGGCGAAGTATTCGCAACGAAATTCAGAGCGAAATTCGCAATCTGTTTCGCCTGTTCATACCAAAACGTCTTATTCGCTCCGCGAACGTGAAGGTTTCGACAGGTTGCGTACATTTTATTTTTGCCTTTTGCAATGAGCTCGTCTTCAGAAGAAGAGGAGGCACTTCTATTTCTTGCTTTAGAAGAGGAACAAAATGCACGGTAAGTTATGTTTATTTAACGCCACTTGATAGTTGGGTATGTATTAAGTTTAACGAAGTACATAAAACAAATATTTTCAATTTTGTTTAGGAAACGAAGGAAGTGGGTACATGATATTAACTTGGAACGAAATAAATTTGGGGAATACCATACCTTGATGCCACAACTTCGGCTGGATGAACAGCGCTTTTACGTATATTTTAGAATGACTCCAGAGTGTTTCGATGAAATATTGAACTTGGTGAAAGATGAAATACGAAAATCTGACACAAATTATCGTGAAGCTATTTCGCCAGAAGAACGACTTGCTATTACACTCAGGTAAAAAAATTATATGTATTAAAATTAGTAGGCTTATCGAATACGAAAACTTCAGGGATCGTGAAATAAATATTTTATTGTAATAATTGGACTACATGTTGCCACTAGGATTAAATGTTGCTAAATAATTCGAGGCAGAATTTGCCTCCTCTGTTGGGTATATTATTGGAGTAAACCCAGTGCCGCTTGGGAAGGACTACATACTACTATCATACATACTTGCAGAATTCTGGGTAGACGCTGAAGACATTTCTTCAATATGTTCAAATTCTTCGTGCGCTATTAATTCGGCTATTTTTAGTTTTATTCGGGCTTGACGCTTTAAGGGAAGTGTTTTCACAGTCTGTGCATGTGCCAAGAAAAGTGAATCAATGGCCTCGTTCTCTTTTTTAGGTTTTTTACCTTCAAAATAATTAATGAGCTGTTGTACAGACGAAGATGGTGGTTCATAGCGTTTTCTGCTCGTTTTATATTTTGGTGTAGTTGCAGTCTGCGGAAAGGTGTGCCCTGGAGTAGTCACTGCTGTAGTGTTCAATGAAGAAGGTGGTGCTGTCTGTGTTGCCGAGGCGTTCAGTGCATCTTCTGCATCTACATCAGCATTTTCATCTTCTCCATGGCCGCGGTCTTCCAAATTTCCGGTTTCTACATTTCCAGCCCTTTCCTGATATATATTTGAGTTAAATTCGGCAGTCTCATAATGTATGACGTCAATATCTTTCACATTAGACGACGTTTTGGCAAATGCCAAAAAAGGGCGGAAAAATTCCATGTAGTCAGTCCACTGCCATTTCTTTATGTTGCCCACTGCTTGGCCGGTCTTTGGTTTGGTAGATTTTATATATTTTGCAAATGTGTCTCTGATATTCTTCCACCTTTTTTTTTACTTCATCACCTAAAAACGATTTTTTTTTATAGATTCCTTGCCACTGGTGACACCTTCTATACCATTGGGCATAGCTTTCGAGTTGGCTTTACAACAGTGAGTGCAATCGTAACCGAAGTCTGTGAAGCGATATGCAGACATATGGAGCATATATATTTACCAGAACCAACAGAGAATATATGGAAAAAATGTGCTGAAGAATTTGAAAATAGATGGGGATTTCCCAATTGCATTGGCAGCGTGGACGGTAAACATGTAACAATCAAGAGACCTAACAACAGTGGCTCCAATTACTGGTGCTATTTACATAAATATTCAATAGTACTTATGGCCATTGTTGGCCCGGACTATAAATTTATATGTGTTGATATTGGTGGTTTCGGAAAAAATAGTGATGAAGGTATTTTCGAAACCTCAAACATGGGAAAACGATTTGAACAAAATTTAATGAGTGTCCCTGCACCTAGATTTCTCCCTGGGCAAAATGAAATCTGCTCGTACGTCTTAATTGGTGATAAAGCATTTGCTTTAAAACCATACCTTATGAGACCATTTCCTTATAAGCAGACTTTAACAGACGTCAGAAAAGAGAAATACAATGTAAGACTTTGTCGAGCTAGAGGGGTCGTGGAAAATGCGTTTCATATTTTGTCTCAAAAATGGCGAATATTTTACAGGCCATTAGAAACTAAAGTAGATACTACTATTCTCATTGTACGTACGGCATGTGTTTTACACAATTTTTTACGAAGTAAAAGTGGCGATGACAAATATTTTCAATTCTTAGAACCCCCAGAACCCGTGCTTGAAGCTTTTACTGATATAGCAAATGATCCTCGGCGGGCAGCAAGGCTAGCATTTTCTACTCGTGACAAATTCGTAAATTATTTTAATTCTGATATGCCTATGCCCAATATATAGAATGTTCGTTTTCACATTTATTTGTGTAGACTGTAAATTATTTAACAAGTTAATAAAAAATATTAGGTACATACCATTTGTATTTAATTCTTTTCCTATTTCCATCCAAATTTTGTCTTTCTCTCATTCCTGTATTCATCGTTCGACAAATCATACAAACAAGGATACTTTTTCACTATTTCTATCAATAATTCCGTTTTTGCCATTGCGAATTTTTGAAGAACGGCGTCAAAAACGCGGTCAAAGGCGAATTGAAATACGCCGCGATAAAAACGCTGGAACAATCACATTCGCTTCGCACAAGTCTGAGCCTGTCCGTAAACCGCCGCGTTTTAATCTGATCGCGAATTCATCGCCGCGAAATTTTCGCAGCCAAAGCGAATATTTCGCGCCGGTTTGTAGGATGCTTTATTCTAATTCTATCACTGTTTTCGGTAAAACTGTTTTATAATTGTTGCGTACTATGTTTTGTAATAATTTTAAAAATGTTTGAGCAATTAAAAGCTCTGGAGCCATAACAAAAAAATTTAAGAGTAGACATTGTTCTGTAGACATTGGTTAAAAAAAAAGATGGATATTCGCAACTGTATGATCCATTACAGTTAACCAATTATCGCGAATGCAATCATTCCCATCCTAATCTAATCTACCAGGAGAAACAAATCGGTTTTTGTTTGCTATTAACCCCCCGTACATAGTCATCGCGTGCATTTGTGCACGGATCTTCAACCGTGAGTGTCATTAATCTTCATTTGCCGTAAAGTCGCAAGGTATATACCAAGAGCAGCAGGCCAATTAAGGGTCCAACATTTGTATAAGAGATGTTATCTCCCGCATCCCGAGACCATTGTGCGGCGTTACAGGATGCATTAGAGGAGTTTTTGTGCCACTGTTAAAAGGAGTTTTATGTTTGCCGAAAGGTGTATTTTACGCATATTTTTTCGAACGTTGAAGTTATTATCAACGCGGTCTGTTTTAAGGAGTTACAGCGGTACTACTTTGAAAGATGAAAAGTGTATGTGCACGTCCAAGTCCAGGAAGTATATATGAATCTGCTCGGAAGAATATTCTGATTATTTTTTTTCATAACACTGATAAACGCAGGATTTGTGACATGACAATTTTTGGGTGTATGTTATGTATTTTGAGATTCTTAAAAACGGAATTTTTCTAATACCCACAGATATTTGGTAACATCTACTTTTATGAATTACAATACGTAACATCTCATATTGCTGCGTATCTCGGCGTTTATGCGATGACGCACATATTTAATGTTAAGAACTGTCTATTCCTGTTTATTATATGCGAGCTCTATGGGGCCGTTCAAGTATTACGTAAGCAGATTAATTACAATTATTTACCCCCCATTCTCCTTGTCAGCAAAAGTAAGCAAAGCTCTTACCCCCTCCCCCCATGCTTACGTAAACATATGTCAATTAATGTATTGTTTTTTTTAATATAATTGTAACGTTATAATTATAATTTGAAAATAGATTTAGGATAGAGATTATATTTTACTGATACGGCATTCAACATAGAGTAAAGGACAAAAATATTGTATCTTACTAACATAACAAACTTATTTTAAATTTTTGGTACATATATTAAATTCAAATTACCGTCTTCAGTCCGTGAAACCCGAATCCATGATTCTAAGTTTTCGATGACATTGGATTGCTTCGATTGCTGCTCAGTGTTGTGAGTTTGCTCGCTTTCATCGGATTTTGGAATGTCTACGTCGTTCTCATCGAGCCATTCAACATCATGGTGCTCTAAATTTTGAATAATGCACATCAGTTCATTAGCACGACGAGCAGCGACTCTTACAGGTCTGACTTTCCTATCAGTGTGCGTGTTTATTTTTTTATGGATATTTTCGATCCAAATGAGACCCAAAATGGTCATGAGGCAATATTAAACCAGCCAGTTCCAGACTAAGAGGAGCCATTCTGCGCGCTACTCTGTTATACGCACTTCTTCCAGGAGCATTGGTAGCTGAAAACAATGCATCGAGATCATGTGCCTTAAAGTGTTGTATAGCAAACCCTATGACTTTTTGATAACGTGGATTTTCACCTGGCCCTCCATCAACCGTCATGATTACCACTGGCTTTACTAGTCCATGGTCATTTTTAGCTAATGGTCGAAACTCTTCAACTTCGAGAAGCGTCTCGAAATCCTGAGCATGAGTAGTAGCAATAGATGAACTATGGTTTCAACTTCGAATAGCGATGTATGTTGGTCCAGAATATCCAACGGCTTGCGGTTGTCCTAGCATATTGGAAGTGATTTTGATACCAGCATAAACAGATGGTATTAATTTATGACGCTCAGCGATTACCCAATCGTGATCAGGCAATTTGATTCTATATTCGATGTGCATTAGAAGAGGTGCTTGCTTATTTGCTGCCGTTACGCCAATAGGGACTCGAGCTTTATCATCGTGAGATATGAAAAATATTTGATCTGGTCCAAGTATGGATGCTATGTTCTCTAAATAATGGATTGATGTTTCAGCGAACTTGCTATCTAAGTGGCTCTTGTGGTGATCAGTTTGAGCCCGAATGAGCGTAACAGGGACTGTCGATACATGTCTTCGTCCCTCTGCAGAATTAGATTTTCTGGGAATCAAACGAAGATATTTCCCTCTGCGACTAATGTCAAATCCTATTTTACGTAATTATTGTGTGAGTTCATCAAGAGTTTTTACGCTGCGAATTGATTCCGTTCGTCTTCTATCATCTGCTGCACTCCCAAATAAAACTATATCCGCGATTGTTTTCAATAGTGAATGTTGATTGGTTTCAAGATTAGGACGTCCACTGAATTCCTCAGAGATAGTCTTTTTTTATTTCTGGATTTTCATGGCAAATATCCTCTAACTTTCTTTTCATACCATCCCTGTGTTTCTTCTAGGCAACTGCGTTTTGAACCTTCCGGTTTAAAGACTCTTTTGCTGTTTTTATTTCCTCGCGCAACTTAATGATCTGTTTATCAACTTCAGCACGGCTTGGCATAGTATCTCTGGTAGAATACAAAGCATTCAGATTTTTTTCGAGTAGAGCAATCTTATTTTTCATAGCTTCCTGAGAAGGTTTTGCTCTCTGTTTATCTGTATTTTCATTAATTTCGCATTGCTGTTGTGATTCATTACCGGGTTCTATTTTATCTTCTTCCTCTTTTTTAATATTTGAAGCTGACTGTATAATTTATGTTTTTTCTGCAGGTTTACAGGTTGCCTAAAAAGAAAACTTTCTATGGCTTCTGCTAAAGATTCTCTTATTAAGCTACATAAATACAAAGTATGGCAATATATATGGTAAATACAAAACCCTATGGCTTTAAATCCAATATGTTTAAACGAGCAATTCGTTCCGGTCACAAAATACTGGGTGATAGTTTTCTGTATATACGTATAAAACTAACATCCTGTACTTTGTGACCAATTGGCGGAATCAATCGTAAGAAATAAATCTATAATATAATGAATATTACCTCTATACTTTGAGATAGGCCATAATATTTTATAATCAGTAAAGAGAAACTTTTTGTCGATTTCTAATATTTCTAGTACTCATAGCTCCTAAAATAATTTCGTCGTCACTCACCTTAGAAAAAAAATTTAGTAGATTGGATTTAGTCTTAGTCGCCGCTTGCAATTCTTCTTCGATTCTCTTAGATACAATATCTAGTTCCTTGTCGGATTTTGCTTGTAATTTGTAATTTAGCCACACTTCGTTAACTAACTTTTGTATATTTTGTACTTTCGTATTTGTATGAGATTTTTTAAAACTTTCAAACAATTTTTGGTATAACTTGGATTTGTCTATGTGAAACGACATCTTATTTAAACATTAAACTTTGGCTAATGGAATCAATGGTAACACAAATGTTAACTTGCTTTACTATGCTTACAATACTTCTACTCGCTATAGTATCCACTGATAGAGGAAATTTAGACAAGTGAACACCGCGCGGTAATTCCCCTACTCGGTTCTAAAGCGAGTAGGGGAATTATCGCGCGCTGTTCACTAAACGTATGCATTATTTGCGGGAATCCCCGAAAATGCGTTTCGTTTTCAAGCAAAGACAATGTGAGGGTTGCCATTCGTGTAAAAAAGTAAATAACTACCGATGACGTAATCATCATCTCGACTCCCCTACCCCCCATGTCATCCAAAATAAGCAAAATAACTGTAACATCTATATTGAGTTTCAAAAACCCCAACCCCTACTGAGCGGGGCCGTGGCAAATGCTTGTTCCGGAAGCTGCTGTGTCCAGCATACAACTTCTTCCCGTACAAGTGATTGTACATGCGTTAAGGAATACCTCAGTACCGATTGCCGGGTGGCGGTGCAAGTCCGCCAACGGGCCACTTTAGGTCTATTTAATATCATTAACACGCAAAAAGAAGGTGGCAGACAAGGACCAGTCGACCGAGGCGGTACCACCCTATGGCTTTTCCCAGGATGTCTTATAAATTATCTTCCAAAACAAAGAAATTAATGATGATGGATCCCTCGAGTACTAAGAATTCCGGACGTAAGCTCACTCCACTCTCAGAATGCCCGGGTGGAGGGTGGACTCGAGAGAACAACATCGAAGATAAAATTTGTTTCACGAACATCTGCTGGATTAACAGCAACATTGATGCTGTTCACCGCTCAAAAATCTCAGAGTCCGCATCGATTAACCATCTTAGCTTACCAAATTACGAGGTCCACTCCAATCTGAGAAAGAACGGGGGAGTTGTGGCCTTTGTCCGCAGCAGTCTTTCCTGCTGCAGAGATGTTTCTCTGGAATCAGATCGGAAGGACATTCTGTGGCTTCGCCTCAACTCCAAAACGTCCCCCAAATTTATTTGCTGCCTTTATCGCTCTCCCTCGCACCATAACTGGGATGACCTTCTTGAATAACTCGCCGTCAAGATCGACTTCCCGCTTCAGAGGGAGTTCTCGTCGGTGATTTCAATGACCATAATTTGCTTTGCTTGGGC